CTTGACGGGCTGGGCGTACTCGAGAAATCCGATGATTGTGAAAGAAATATTAAATGTAGAATTTTGATTGGTGCTTTGTTGTATATAAGTTCAGCTACAAGGCCAGATATAAGTTTTGCAGTAAATTATTTGAGCAGATTTCAGAATTGCTATAACATTACCCATTTTAAATATGCTTTGAGAATTTTAAAATATTTATATGAGTCTCGAGATTTAAGTTTATCGTTTATTGAAAATAAAGTTTGTGATACAGTTGATTATTACGTAGATGCCGACTGGGCAGGTGATAATAATGATAGGAAGTCGACGACCGGCTTTGTAATACGATTATTCGGTAATGTTGTGTATTGGAGGTCGAGAAAACAAAAGTCCGTTACAAAAGCGTCAACATTTGCCGAATATATTGCTTTATCAGAAGCAGTAACTAAAATTAAGTTAGTCACAGAATTATTAAAATGCTTGATATTGAATGTAAAAGACCAATAAATATGTATGAGGATAACAGTAGTGCAATCAATATTGCAAAGTACGGTAATTTTACTAAAAATTCTAAACACATAGAAGTTCAATATCACTTTGTACATGAGAGCGTAAATGAAGGTAAAATAAATATTGTAAAAGTCGATACTAATGAAAATGTTGCTGATATATTTACGAAATCATTAAGTAGAGAAAAACATGAAAAATTTTGTAAAATATTAAATCCTAAATAAATAATAATATGGTAAAAATAGCAGAAATCTAAGGAGGCGTGTTAGGAATAAGTACAGTTGTGCTAGTGATGTATATGTGAACACATGATGTATGAGTAAGAGAGAGTGGAAAGGGAACTTCGGTCCCGGTGTACTCGCTTTAGAGAGAGTTGAAGTTAGTTAATATGAAGCCGTCGTAAGTGGCACTATGCTTACTACAATTATTGTTTAATATTTCTCCTTGTTATAATAAATTACATTTATATAAATACTTAATAGTGTATTTATTATTCACCATTTTAACAGTTACCATAATGTTTTTTTGTATCTAAAAAGGATTAGAAAAACCTTATATTATTTGTCTTTAAAATCAACTTTACTTATTAATCTTTAAGGTTATACTCATTTTTTTGCTTACTTTTAAGTACCTCACAAATTATGCTGCAGAAAAATCTGAAATTCAATATTTTATACTTTTGTATCATTACGTATATTCTAGTAAAGTTTTAGAAAATTTATCATAAAAAGTTGTATTCTATACGTCCTAAGCTATGATAAACATTTCATTAGTCTATTCATCTCTCACTCATAGTTACACCGTAACAGATCCAATGGAATGTACGTCATTATATTCACTCAAATGGTCTTTATCTTAATTTCGAACTGATTTTTTTTTCCATTAAACAATTTTATAGCAGCTGGTGTCCACGAGCTACAAGTGCCGCAAATTTTACAAGCAGAAGAGCTGAATCTGCAGAATAAGCACATGTATCACCAGCAAAAGCTAGTCCTAGTCCAGCAGAGGCTTAATTTGGAGTCACATTTGCGGGAACTTACTCGTATGTCTGATTACCAAAGCCATCCAAAGTACCAAGACTATATAAACAAGTATGGCGAAATTATGAGGCTCCTTCAGAGTCTTGAATATCGATCGATAGCTGGGCGATCCCAACAGCAACAACAACATCAACCACAGAAACTAGTAGCACCACCAATTAATTTACAGTTTGATCAAAATGGAGTGCTGATTAATTCGAGTTTAATACCGCCAACGTCTCTAGCTTATAGATTGCCGGGGACACAAGCGATGAGTACGGTGTCTAACGAAGAGAGAACTAATATCTATGAAGGTAAGTTTTTTTTTACTATCTCATTTCAAGTGATTAAGTTTAGGGATACCAGACGTCTACTTTTAAGCAAAATGACTGATTCTAGGATTTTTCTTCATTTTTTGACATTACTTAATTATATAAAAATGTGTTTCATTCTGTTTTACTGTATAAAATAATAAGATTTTGTGTAATGGCCCAGGTAGATGGTCAAAATAGCTAATTTTATAGCTTTTTACATTTTTTAACTTGGCCTACCACTAGATAAATATTTTAAAATATAGAAAAACATATTTTTTCCGTTTTACAGGATCAAAATTTAATTTTGATGCAAACGCTCAGGTAGATAGTCAAAATTGCCTTTTAAAGTTAAAAATTTTTTTTTGAGGTCATAATAATTTTGGATAACCTTAAAAAAATTTACATTTAAAACTAGTAGTATTAACTATGCTCATGAAGGTCAAAAAACTTTTTGGATAACTAGAAGCTAAGATAAAAAATAAAACATTTAAAACAAGGTTTTTAGGGCAAAGAGTCTCGAAATAAATTTTTGGATCCTTGGAGTTTTCTAAAAAAAATTTTAGTCCGAAACAAACAATTTCTGACTCTACATAAAAAGAAAAAATTGAACGCATTTCACCTATCTTCACCTTATCCTTCTGAAACTAAATTACTGTTTAAAACTTATGATAACTTCCAAATCGTGGTACAAATGACGTTCAAAGTAGGAAAAGTGAGTTTTCGTAGGCTAGTATAATAATAGACATTATTACAGTGAACTTATATAGTGATATTTAGGATATGGTAAGTGATTGTTAGTTGTGATTTTAAATACTCCATAAATAACATTTAATTTCAGATATGTCCAGAAAAATTACCATCCTTGGTGCATATTTATATAAACCACTGCCAATGGCTGACAGAGATTAAGTCGATAGTTTTGCTCTGATTTGTTTTGCTGGAATTCAAAAATTCTGATAGGTTTAATTTTCCACTCTAAATTCATGCATCTACTGATTATTATGTTACGGTTAATAATTGTAGTCCATGAGACATGAACAATTTAGATAAAGTAATTAATTGTCAGCCAAATTGAAAAAAGGGAGTAATTTATGTTTAAAATATTCGCGAATAGACAGTCAAACACATCATTGTAAGCTCACTACAAGATTAAAACCACTTCAAGGTCCATCCTTACGCTAAAAAAAATTACTAAAATTTTTTGAGATGTGGAATTACCACATATTTAATTTGTACACATGCAAATATATTCCATATTATTGAGCAGTCTGTAAGCTCTTACTAATGAATGTAACGTCATAAAATTGAACACAGGTGCGGCTCGCTTGACGTAAAGGAAGTTGACTAACTTTGGAGGGGGGTGCAAGAGATAGCTGACGTTGTGCCTTTTTTTGGGTTACAAATACGTCTGCATGTCCCGTAATTAAATATTGAGTTGTGTTTGCACCTTAGACTATTCATTGATAACTATTTTTATAAGGACTTAATTGACGTGATCGTTTTACATGATAAAAAGGCAGATGTTAATTTACTGCCGATTACAGTTTTGTCAAAATCAAACTGTTAATTGTATCAAAATTTCTTATTATAAGAGACACTTTTGACGATCCCTCATAAAAACTACGTAAAGTTTACAAATTTGTTTAATTAATTTCTCATTTCATGAGCACACAGAGTTATTGAAACTTTGCATAAATTTTTTTTTTTACTTTTGAAGCTCTGCACAAATTTTAGTAAAAAAATGACTGTCAATTGCTTAAGGTAGTCAACTTCCTTAAATTACATTGAAAAACATGACCACTTACTTTGTAGCAGTCCAAAGGTAAAACACCCTTGCAAAGTTGTTGTGCAGTATAGTATATTACGCACCTGGTGAGCGAGGTTAAGAATGTCGCAGAATTCACGTAAATAAACGAAGCGAAGTTGAGGGTGGTTACAATAAAATTTAGGACATTGCTTAACTTCTAAACATTTTGCGTGTACGATTTTACGTGTCCTGGTATCCAGGAAGTCAATCTTGCCGTCCACGCAACGGACGACAATGTCCATTTTTTGAGCACTAGGCTAAAAATCTTTATAATTAGCGCAAAAAGTTTAGTATCAAAGTTACTGTAAATTTTAAAATTCAATAATACATAAAACTTGTAATTAACCATCTGCCAAAATTTGGGATCGATAAATTTAGTAGGTCTTGAGATTTTTACTAACATACAAACAAACGCTATCTCTTTATATAATAGTAAGATTTTCTTCTTTCAAGACTTTATATTGGGCTGAAAGTAGTTCAGAAGTATCCACTTTTTTAGTTATACCATCTGCAACTCTAACTTGATTAAAAACAATATCAAGCAATAACGCAAAAAAAGGCCAAGGCTACAAAAATGAAATTTATAAAATTAGAATCTTAATACATCTTTTTGTGTAAATTTAATGATCTTTTAGATTATTTAGCATGACACATTTTCAAATAACGAGGAATTCGAAGTAAAATTAATTTTTTTTTCTGAAAATTAGATTAAACAAAATTAATCGGTAAAGTTAAAACTTTTTTTTCGTCATATATATCCAGTGATGTAAAAAAAATCTGACTAGACTTATTAATATTAGTAAAAAAAAACTTAAGATTCAGATGATTGCACACATATACCTATCCATACACATACACAGATACCTTAGCCACAGTACTCTTTTTCATTCCGAACTGTATGAAACATATTGATGTCATGTTACCTTTGTCCATAGTTTTTAGTCTATAACGAAGCATTCTTTCTCAGGAAGCAAAAATTAAAATGTTAAATAATATATCAAATAGAGAACTCACCAGCAAGCTCGCCACCAGTTGATAGAGTTGCCAATCCTCTCAAGTCCTGAAAAAGACGCACCCGTGTCTAGCACTCATTTGTAGGCTGCATTCTTTGTAAGCACCTTTATATACTTGATGCTTTGCCTAGTCAATAAGTTAGTATACTTAATGCAGCGTGGGTCCAATCAACTCACTTTTCTTTCAGAAATTTGGCATCTTTACTTTCACGCCACTTAGACTTTTTTCCTGGCTTCTTCTAGCGCCTGCCTAAAGTTTCCCCAGCCAGTATCCTGTTTTGTGTCTCCTGTCTTACAAAGAAAACACCGTACTCTACTACTTCAGTCTTTTTTACGGTAGTTTGAGCTTCAACATCTAAAGCACAGTCTTGATCTGTCTTTTTCTTTGCATTCATTGAATACATGTTCATACCCCAGGCATCTAAAGCATCTCATTACAAAAAGCCTTTTCTTAGCAGCGCAGGAGATGAATTAAACTTTGACCCAGTCTGCGTGTTCAACTTCCTTGACAACTGAGTTTTCAAGGCTTACTAACGCCATACTTTGTCCCTTGGAGTTTACTTTAAGAAGTTGAACCTTTAAGTTTTGGTTTCTGCTTCCGATAACCTTCTTCAATGATTTCCTCATTTTTTCTTCTTTGAGGATACGAAACGTGGACTCCGAGTGTCATTTTTCGTGCAATGGTTATCACTTTTTCTTAGCCAACCATTGACTTTTCCACATTTTGAGGGAAACTTACAATATTTTTTACTATCTTTCAAGAGCAAGTCTTCTCTCTTGGTGGCTACGATACTTTCCACAATACCTCCTGTTTCATCTGCGTTAAAACCTATTGTCATCGTCTTAAGTACTCTAACAAAGGTTTCTCCTTAATTTACCTTCACCGGAACTTTGGTCACCGTGTTTAAGATTTTTTTTATTGTCTCTCTTACTGCTTGGAACTCCTTTTTGCAGTTTACCATCGACAATAACCCTTTTTTTTTTAGTAGCCGCAGCTCTGTGCTTTTTTAAAGATTTTTTGAAGAACTCCTTATTCTTTTAGCACGTTCTATTTCCTCAAAAGCGGTGATCAGGGTTTTCCTCTGGACATACCGTCAGAAATTATCCCTTATGTGCTCCCTTATCTGCAGGTATTCAAAACACTCCTCACAAAATCTGTAGTACTTTTCTTCAGCTCTCAAATTGTCCTGTCTAATTATTTCTACCGATTCAAGGTGTTTGAAAACAGCTTTAAGACCACCCTTAACAAACTTTGTCGTGTTACCGTTTTTCTGATTGATGGCTACATGGAAGATTGTTGTTACCAGAAAAACAGGTTCTATATGTTAGTACAAGTATTTTCGATACTCTGTACAAGAAAAATGTGTACTGGTAAAGGTATATTTGGTACGGTAGTATACTTTAAAGTACCTTATTGAGTATAGATAAACCTTATACTTAGTACGTCAAAATCCGATACGTGGTACGGGTTTTTCCTGTACCAGTACAGAAAGTTAGTCGGCCAGTGGGAGCATTTAGAATGTCAGTATATATATACGTAGCTGTAAAAGTTCAAGAGGTTAGGATTTCAGTATATCCACCACAACACAATATAAAGTTCAATACATTGATACGAATCTAACAAGATATAATGATAAGTGCAGTAGGCACATGTAGTCACTTTCCTGTTGCGTATAATAATTGGTTTTCACTCGCAAAGAACAATTTACATATTGAGCCAACATAATAATGGCAATCCCATACATGTATGCAAGTATGCATGTATATATACATACATATCTCCACTATATATAAGCGCACGTACTATGCGCGGTACAGTAGAAAGCCATGCGCAGTATAAAAATTTAATAGACTATCCATGGTACAGAAAAATCCTGTACCAAAGCTATTGAAAAACTTGTACTAGTATAGTTATAAAACCGACTAGTCACAGGTTTTTCGGTGATCCAGATAAGTATGTAAAAATGTGAGACTGGTTGCAGAAATCTCAAGACCTGTACGTTATTTTTCTATGCTCATCACTTTTGGTATAGCTTATTCTGGTAACAATAATCTTCCAAGTATGAGAGCCTTCTCAATCTCCTTTGTTGCAGATTGAACTTTCTGAATCTCCTTATTTCGTTTCAGCCTCAGTTCTGCACCATCTCTTTCCATGGAAGCAAACTCCCCTTGCGCCTGGT